CCCCCCTCCTCCCCCCTCACTTCCCTCCATTCTATCCAACCCCCTAACTCCCCCGTCCTCGCATTGAAATCTCCTCCAACAATCGTTCTTATCCCCTTCCTTCCATCCGCCTCCCATCCCCCAACCCTCTCCCATATCTCCTTCATGTTTCTGCTAACGTACACCCCCACTATTGTCCATTTCTCACCTCCTACCCTTATCACCCTCATCATCATTCCCTCCATCTCCCTCATTTCCTCCTCTTCAACCACTTCTATACCCTTCCTTATTCCCATCATCATTCCCCCTATCGCCCTCCCTTTTCTATTCCTCCTACTCGCCCATTGCATCTCCCATTTAAACTCCCTCGACAATCTTCCCCTCACCCTCTCCCACCCCCCTTTCTCCATCCACGTCTCCGACATTACCACTATATCCCATTCCTCTATTTCCTTCCAGAACTCCCTTTCTTTCCCCCTAATCCCCGCCACATTCCAAAAAGCCACTTTCACCATCCCTCCCTCCTCTCCCCCATCCCTTGCCTCCTCACCTCTCCCCTCCATCCTCACTCCTCCACTCTCCCTTCCCCCTTCGTCCCCATCCCTCCGACTTTCCCCTCTCCTTGTCCTACTTCCCCCCTGCTCCTTCCCTCCCTCCCTACCTAATCCCCCCTCCCTCCTTCCCCCGATGCCTCTTCCCCCTCTTTTCCTCTTCCGATTTCCTTCCCCTTCCTCAATCCCTCCTCCCTCTCATCCCAGAACCACCATTCCCCGTTTATCATCGCCCTATTCACTCCCATCCAAATCCTCGCCCCCTTCTTTTCCTCCACCCTAACCGCCTCTCTAAATCTCCATCTAGCCCGCCTTTCTCTCCAAGTCAAATCCTCTTCTATCCAAACCTTTCCCCCCCTCAATCCTTTCTTCCTTCTCATCACCTCCCTCTTCCCCTCCTCCGTCTCTAGCTTCACCACTGCCATCTCCCCCCACTCTTCTCTTCCCGTTCTCATCGTTCTCGCCTCCTCTACCTTCACCTCCGCTCCTATGCTCCTGAATATCTCCCCTATCACATTCCTCACCTCCTTCCCCTCCCCTTTATACCCTTTCACCACTACATTTCTTTTCCTTTCCTGCCTTTCCATTCTTTCCCACGACCATTCCATCTTCCTTACCCTCTCCTCCACCCCCTTATCCTCCCCTCCCTTCACCCCCCTTCCTCCAGCTTCTTCACCCTCTTCTCCAATTCCTCCATTCCCTTCCCCTTTCCCTTTATGCTCATACTCCCTTCCCACTTCCTCTCCAGCTCCTCAATTCTCCTCTGCATTCCCTT